TCCCCGCCGAGCGCCACGTCGGGCGTCTCGCTGAGTGACTCGAACCACTTCTCGCTCTCGGTGCTGCTGCGCGGCGCGTCCGAGGCGGAGGACGCGTCCACGCGCGGGCTGGTGCTCGAGACGGTGGAGAAGGAGTTCCCGATGCTGCGCTGCGTCGAGGAGCGCACCTCGCTCGAGATCCGGCCAAAGCCGCAGTGGAACCGCGCAAAGGCCGTCAAGTGGCTCACCGACACCGTGGTCGACCGCGTGGCGGGCACGCTCGGCGTCAAGGCTGTCGTGCCCGTCTACGTGGGCGACGACACCGCCTTCGGCGCGTCCATCTGCGAGCTCGAGGGCGGCGTGTACGTCCACATCACGGGCGGGCCGTCGTCGCACGACGGCTCCTACTTTCTGCGCGAGGCGTCGCAGGCGGACGAGCTGCTCCGCTTCTTCGTCGAGCAGGCGCACGCGGGCGTGACCGTGCGCGGCGGGAAGCTGCGGCAGGCCGAGCGGCACGCGGACGAGTCGGCCCGGCGCCGCGGCCTGCCCGCGTGGATCGGGTCGGCGCCCGCGCCCGCCGCGCCCGCGATGGGCGGCAGCCGACCCCCGCAGTGGCACCGCGCGGCGAGCAGCGATCGGGTACCGCGGTGAGGTAGAGTGGGTGACGAACTCAGCGAGTCAGCGTCAGCCGTCTGCGGCAAGGACCAAGGTCCGAGGAGAGGGTGTGTATATGTGGGTGGGACGCGAGCGTACTGGGCGAGCGTACAGGCTACTCGGCGTCCGACACCAACTGTATAAAAACGAACCCTCTCTGCCGCTTTTTCAACTAGACGCGGCGAGGAGGGCGGCACTAAAGCGGGACCCGCTGTGCCCGATCGTGCGGAAAGCCGCGCAGCAATGGACCGAGGAAGATGAGAACCCGCCTAGAGCGACAATGGCGCACTTGCTTAGCGGCGCCTGCCCGGGGAATAGGGAGCAGGCCAGATGGTTCCTCAGAGTAGCGCGAGCGCAGACGGGGACGGCGATCAGCAAAGTAGCGCAGGCGGCACCCGACTCCAAGGATACGCTGAAGACGCTGAGAATAGCGCATGTCGCTGCGCTGAAGGGCTCACGCTATAGGGTGCTGGATGAGGACGGGTACGATGCACTAGCACCAGCCGTCGGGGGGGTGTTGCCGGCGCTGGTAGATGACCTCTCGGAGAAGAGTCGGAGGGACCTTGGCGCCGGGGTCACGAGGAACTTGCAAGTCGTGGCCGAGGCGGCGACGGGAGCGGTGCAGAGGTGGATCCAGCTCAATGATGAGGCTACGGCGCGCATAATGAAGAGAGAGGAACACATCGAGTGGCTGAGGAAGCTCTTCGCTGGGTGGAAGGAGGCCCGGCCAGCCTTGAGGGAGTCGCGGAGGAGGAGGGATAATGGAGGTAACGTGGGAACAGGCCAACAGCCAGTGGGACGAACGAGGGCCGCGACGGCGGCTCAAGCGGGAGGGAGCGGAGACGGTGGGCAGAGAGCGAAGTGGGTGAGACTGATGATGCTCCTTCGACTTAGGGAGCGGTTCAGATGCTGGGCGGGCTTCAGGCTGGTGCTCACGCGAACAGGAATCGACGCGATGTACAAAGCATACAAGAAGGGGAGAAGGAAGAGGAGAGGCGCCAGTGATGACGAGGCAGAAGCTAGTGCAGACGAGAGCAGGGGAGACCCGGGGACTGGGGAGCCGGAGCAGACGGCATCGGCCGCCGAGGGAACGTTGGGAAGAGGCACGAGGAGGGCGGCGACCTCGACCGACTATGGAGGACCCGTCGCCAGACGACGCAGGGCAGAAGACGGTGAGGCGGAGCAGACGCGCAGGGCGAGACGAGGGAGGGAGCAGGACTTTGCGGAGATCAGCAGGAGGATGTACGAAGAGATTAGGAGCAGCAGGGACCCGAGGGACCATGTGGAAGACGGCTAGTGCTAGTCCCCCACCGGGAGGACGACCCCGGCTAGTCGCCGACCACACCCACAAAGAACCCTGCACAAAGATCGCAAGGGCGGGGGCCTGTTCCTTTTTACCCATCTCACAGTAGAGAGGTGTCCGTTTTTATTTATTTATTTATTTATTTAGGGCTGGGTCGAGGACAGACACGTCCCCACCTTTGCAGGATTTTGCAAAAGCGAGGGGGGAGGGCGCATCGCGGCGCGGAGAGGGCTGGGCACGGGCACAGGGGGTCTCTCTCGCATAGGAAGATAGGATACGCACTCGGCGGCACGAGGGCAGGGCTGGGCGTCCTGTTTGTGCTCCCCTCCGTATCCCTCGCTCTTGGGCACTATTCATCTGACCACTCATCAGAGGGGCTTCTAGGCGATCGGCCGCGCTCCGGGGCAGGGCTGGGTAGGATGGGCTCGGGCCACTCGCCCGTGCGGGTGTATCCCCGCATGAGCCGGATGGAGGCCTCGACTGTCCCTCGCGGGATGGGAGGACGGCACGCCGGCCCAA